ATCACGATGCATCATCATGACGATTATTTTGCACACCCCTAAATTCCACTAACAGTGTTTGGAGGAAGAAGAATGATGAGTACCATCCCAAGAACACCATCCCTACTGTGAAGTAATGGGGTGGTAGCATACTGCTTTGAGGGCGTTTTTCTGCAAATGGGACAGAGCAACTGCACTGTATAAAGGAGAGGATGACCGGGGGTATGTATTGGGAGATTTTGGGGAACAACCTCCTTTGAGGCTGGGTCTTTAAACATGACAATGACCCGAAGCACACAGCCAGGATAACCAAGGAGTGCCTCTGAATAATTATTTGCAGCTTTATCACACAACTAGTTAAAAAAATCATGTTTTGATTTCTTGATTTTTTTTATTTAGATTATGTCTCCATGGTTTCTGTGGGAGAAATCGCAGTGTATTCAAATACTTATTTGCCTCACTGTAGATAGATATCCATCTAGATCAGGGGTAACTAATTAAAAATCAGCGGGGTCCGAATAAAGAAAAACGAGTAGAGGTCCAGAGAGGTCCAGTAAAGGTCCGGAGACATTTTTAATTATAATCCGTTACTTTTAACAGAATTTAACACTAAAATAAAATTTGGTTTTTATGCATCCATTTTATACATTCACTTAAAAAAAAAAAAAAATATATATATATATATATATATATATATATATATATATATATATAAAAATATATAACTTTTTTCCATTTTAAACTCTAAAGTGTTTTTTGAATTAGAGAACAACAATCATTCAGTTTGGCATATAGACAATTTCCTGATTCACATATTTTATAAAACACCTGAACTGACCTCCACATTTGGACAACATTTTTATATACCCCGATTGTCACTACAGCAGACAAAACAGCCCCGTGAACATGAAATACTAAGACAAGTTTTGCTTGTTTACTTACGGGGGATGTAGGAGATCATGACAAGGATGAGGAAGGTGTAGTAGTCGAAAGAGAAGTTATACTTGTTGGGGAGAGTGACGGAGTACAGGCCTGACTTCTGCACGTATGGCAGAGCTGCATAGATGGTCAGCAGTTCTCCACTCACTCCCATCGGATACAGCACGATGAAAAACGTGTATCTGCAGTGGGAGATTTCAGACAAAACAGGCAGAAAGGGAAATAAATAATCCATCCTAATACTTTATTGATCACTTCTACAACGAGGGAGTGAGAGGTGGGAGGCATCACTATTATAGGCAGCACTCTACTGTAGAAGAGATCCGTGTTGTAGGTTTGAAAAATATTTTCTTAATAGTAAAAAAACAAGCATATACTGAGCAAACAAATACAATTGCAGCCAAGGCCAGAAAAAACACTCTGTTTAATCTCATTAGATATAGAAAATATAAGACATAGACAAATTGTACTCCAAGTTAACAACAGATTCTGAAAAGATTATTTTAAGAAACTAAAGTGACAAAAGATAGAAATTTAAAATGAAGAAAAAACTAGATTTAAAAATCCATGAACGGATAATTTTATGTTGAGACCATCAAAATTAATATACAGGTAAAAGCCAGTAAATTAGAATATTTTGAAAAACTTGATTTATTTCAGTAATTGCATTCAAAAGGTGTAACTTGTACATTATATTTATTCATTGCACACAGACTGATGCATTCAAATGTTTATTTCATTTAATTTTGATGATTTGAAGTGGCAACAAATGAAAATACAAAATTCCGTGTGTCACAAAATTAGAATATTGTGTAAGGGTTAAATTTTGAAGACACCTGGTGCCGCAAACTAATCAGCCGATTAACTCAAAACACCTGCAAAGGGCTTTAAATGGTCTCTCAGTCCAGTTCTGAAGCCTACACAAACAAGGGGAAAACTTTAGATTTGACAGCTGTCCAAAAGGCGACCATCGACACATTGCACAAGGAGGGAAAGACACAAAAAGTTATTGATGAAGAGGCTGGCTGTTCTCAGAGCTCTGTGTCCAAACACATTAATAGAGAGGCAAAGGGAAGGAAAAACTGTGGTCAGAAAAAGTGTACAAGCGATAGGAATCACCGCGCCCTAGTCAAGGTTGTGAAAAAAAAAAACATTCAAAAATGTGGGGGAGATTCACAAGGAGTGGACAGCTGCTGGAGTCAGTGCTTCAAGATCCACCACCAAGAGACGCTTGAAAGACATGGGTTTCAACTGCCGCATACCTCGTGTCAAGCCACCGTTGACCAAGAAACAGCGCGAAAACGCGTCTCACCTGGGCTAAGGAAAAAAAAGAGCTGGACTGCTGCTGAGTGGTCCAAAGTCATGTTTTCTGACGAAAGCCAATTTTGCATTTCCTTTGGAAATCGAGGTCCCAGAGTCTGGAGGAAGACAGGAGAGGCACAGGATCCACGTTGCCTGAAGTCTAGTGTAAAGTTTCCACCATCAGTGATGGTTTGGGGTGCCATGTCATCTGTTGGTGTCGGTCCACTCTGTTTCCTGAGATCCAGGGTCAACGCAGCCGTCTACCAGCAAGTTTTAGAGCACTTCATGCTTCCTGCTGCTGACCTGCTCTATGGAGATGGAGATTTCAGGTTCCAACAGGACTTGGCGCCTGCACACAGCGCAAAATCTACCCGTGCCTGGTTTACGGACCATGGTATTTCTGTTCTAAATTGGCCAGCCAACTCCCCTGACCTTAGCCCCATAGAAAATGTGTGGGGTATTGTGAAAAGGAAGATGCAGAATGCCAGACCCAAAAACGCAGAAGAGTTGAAGGCCGCTATCAGAGCAACCTGGGCTCTCATAACACCTGAGCAGTGCCAGAAACTCATCGACTCCATGCCACGCCGCATTAATGCAGTAATTGAGGCAAAAGGAGCTCCAACCAAGTATTGAGTATTGTACATGCTCATATTTTTCATTTTCATACTTTTCAGTTGGCCAACATTTCTAAAAATTCCCTTTTTTGTATTAGCCTTAAGTAATATTCTAATTTTGTGACACACGGAATTTTGGATTTTCATTTGTTGCCACTTCAAATCATCAAAATTAAATGAATAAACATTTGAATGCATCAGTCTGTGTGCAATGAATAAATGCAATTACTGAAATAAATCAAGTTTTTCAAAATATTCTAATTTACTGGCTTTTACCTGTATGTGCAGACACAGAACATGTCTGCTGTAAAAAAAAAATGTAAATAAAAACTTCAGAATCTCATTTTCCTTCAGCCCTGGAACTGTACACTAATTTTCCACAGATAAGAAACTAATTTCTAGGGTGCAATTCAACTGGCCTCTCTTGCTACTTAGCAACAAAGACTGCAGGGAGAGAAACACTTAACTGTTGCCTTGGTTGAAGACGCTGATAAACTCAGTCAAATAAAGACGTGGAAACAGAGGATTTGTGTTTGACAATTTGCCTTCAAGCTTATGCTTTTGCGCTTGACAAGGATGTTTGGGTCCTTTAAAACAAGGAGGATGGCCATCATATTTCCCTACAGTATTCACAGCGACGTGTAAACAGTCTGAACAGTCAAATGAAGCAACAAGTGGTGCAAGTTACTTATGCAAAGAGTTATGTAAAAAGGGGATTCTTTACTAAAGCAACTACATTTTAGTCTTTAGAAAGCCAACAGCTTGAGTCAAATCAAAGTATGGTGTGGGTTTTCCGTTTCTCTCAAAATGCCTTGTAATTATTTTGTTACTGAGGTTTTATTTTAAAGACATGGCACTGCATTAGTCACAAGTGAAAATAACATGGTATGTGGTCCTAAACCACCTTTGGAAGTATCCCTCTACCATTTTTGTTTTTACACATCTAAAAACTGAAAGTTTTAAAAGGCGTCATTGTGAAATGCAGTTGTGGAATAACTAAACAGATGCAAATAAAAATAAAAAAAATTGTAGAAAACTTAGAGAACATATACTGCTGCATTTCTTTAACATCATATTCACACACAAAAAAATAACGTAATAAAGCATAAGAGATATAATGTATGCTACCTTTACCAAGAAAAAACATCCCCATCTAAATGATGACAGTTAGCCTTTTCTCCTCCAACATTGATGGAAAAAAAACAGTTTTCTGCAATTTAGTCAGATACAGACCAGTAAAGTAGCCATAGATGTCCCAAGGTTTTCAGATCTGCATCTCTAGTATTAATCCCTATTATAACATTTAAATGGTACTTTATGCAAAATCTTTTTCAGTTTATACAGTATACAGCACAATTTTACACTTTTGTTTGTGTGAAGAACCCACAACATAAAGTTTGCTGGAGAGGACTAACTATAATGAAGTCTTCTAGTTTGGTTTCTCCATAAGCTACGGTGAAGGATTGAGAATCTGGAACAAACCAAAGATTCATGTAGTATTTTAAAGCTGTTCATATTTTCAAATTTCAAGCTTACACAGATTAACTTGTCCTTTAGAAAAGTTTCTTTTTAAACACTTGATTTTTTGGGGGATTCTTTGACAAGAGTCTCACAATATTTTGCTGTAATTTTGGCCCATTCCTCCAGACAGAACTGATCTAACTGAGCCTGGCTAAGAGGTCAGCTTCATCACACATTTTTTGGTTTTCCAATGTGTCAGGGATTTAGCTCAGGGCAACAGCAAATAAAGATATTTTCTTGTCCTTGAGCTACATTTAAATGCACCAGCTATACCTTCTTGGGGAGATGTTAGTTGGATATTTCCAGATGGCATATCTTTCCTTTAGGATGCTTCCATTTTGTGAAATGGAGCAAACATTGCTGGAGCAAAACCGCCAACTGAACATAATGCAATTACCCAGGATCTTCACAGTTTAGGGTAAGTTACTGATGAAGATTCTCAGTCATCCAGGTCAAAATCATTCCGTAAAAGTCCAAAAAATATCCACTGGACTTGGTTTCCAAGATTTGAAGACGTTTCGCCACCTCTCCAGGAAGCTTTCTCAATTCAAATGTCTCAATTCAAAATGACATTTGAATTGAGAAAGCTTCCTGGAGAGGTGGCGAAACGTCTTCAAATCTTGGAAACCAAGTCCAGTGGATATTTTTTGAACTTTTACGGAATTTAGGGTAAGTTCCCAAAAATGTAATGCTGGCCTTTACTGCAAGGTTTAAGTATAGGTTCATAACAGACACATGCATTTATGACATCTATTGTGTTTCATTTGGAGTCATTGGTCTGGACCGTCTTGCCTGTCCATCCATGTCTGTAAAGGACTCCTTTCATGATGGAAAATTACAGGTTTTCTGTTAAGATTCTGGAGTTGCATCACTAACTTCTATCGCTTGTTCAATAAAGTCATGAGGAGCTGGTGCTCATTTCCAGCAGTCTATAGACAAAAGGTGGGGTACGCTATGGACACCTTGCCTGTCCAATTCAGGGTAACCGCACACAATCACACCTGACAATTTAAGGTCTGAACACGCCCGATATAATTTAGTGTTCCATCCTCCTTTTGGTTTGACCTATGCAGTACTTTCACAGCTATGTCATGGGAGACACTGTGGAGAGTAATGCCCATCTGATTTGAAGAAAAATCTCTAAATTGGACAGTAAACTAGCTGTCCTTTCAGGTTTGGCAACAAAATGAGCTGAACTTGCATATAGCAAACGGGGCAGAATCAGATATAGATGGTAAATAATAAATAAACGTTTCAGTAAACTGTGTAAATTTACTCATAGTAGGAGGTCAGAATTACACAAACAGATAAAGTAAAACTCTTTGATCTTTAGCTGAATGGGTGTAATCTGGGTATAAACTGTGGTAGTTTATCCCCCCCCCCCAAGCTTATTAAACTAAAAATACTTACCATAACCCAACCTACTTTTAAGGTTTGATTAAATGTAAAAACTTATAAATGCTGCAAGCTTCTCTGGTTCTACTGTGTTTCACTGTGCAGCTAAGGCGCCTATAGGCACCAATGTTGACTGAGCAGGACAATGGATCGCCCCATTGCTCTTTATGTGCTCAATGTCCTGTAAGACTAAAACGCTGCTTAGATAAACTGAGCAAATATATAACAGGAAGCATTATATGAGTAGGTCTAAAGAAAGGTGAACAAAAAACACACTGTCTGGTGTTTTCCTTGGTCTTCATGGTGCTGTTAGCTTATCAACGCCCTCCGAGAAACCTGTGAAGTCTTCCTGGAACAACTGGTACTAAGAATAACCTAAACACCAGGGTTGCCATGGTACTAACATGTCAAAGAAAAATATTGAATGACTTTTTGAATAGCTGCTACCATCTTTTAAAGGCACGTGTTTTTTTCTCCACAGGATCAATAATTATTACTTACTACAATATGTTAATATTCATATTTATTTATTGGGGGAAACCAAAAGGAAGCAGACAACCCAGCCCTCAGTAAGGGAAAAACATTGTACAGATGTATCACTTCCCTGGTATTAAAGGTATTAAAGGTACCCGTCGTCTCCACTTTAAAAAAGATGTGCATGAGGCCTCTTCTCATACACTTTGTAAACACTATTTCTCTTCAACCCTCGGCCATTTTCAAAGAGCCACAGAAAAAGGTGAGCTTCAATGACGGTCTGAAATTGTAGCTCACCACACATAAACGCTTGAAAGTATGCATGCCCAGAAAAAGATAGCTAATGGGAGGAGCATGTAGGACAGCCTTTCGTAAACATATCACAAGAATGATTGATAATTAGGAGGACCTCTTCTTTAGATGATACACCTGGAAATAAAAGATCTATACCTTTAAAATAAGACAAAAATGGTTCCAACACAAACATTTTTTTGCAGAGTAAACGAGGATCTGGGTTCAATGAGACCTAAGCTGATTCTCACTTTCCTGCGTTGATTCGCTTGATTCTGAACGATTGGTTCTGAAATGGACTGCGTCATCAGGTTGTCTCTGTTTGTCAAACCAACATTTATGAAAATGGCGTTAAATTATATCAGCCAATAAGCTTGATATGCCACTGTTTAAAGAGTCTGACCCTCTGAAGTTGCTCTCAAACATACTTGTCATGTCGTTAAATTGTAACATACACATAGTGAGCATGTGGCAACGTTTGGCATTTGCTTTTTGGTTGCCTGTCCTAGGGCTGCAACAACGAATCGATAAAAATCGACTTTTAAAAGCGTTGGCAACGAATTTCAATCGATTAGTTGTGTTGCGCGATTAATGCGTCATCCGCCGCAGTCGTCATCGCTGCCACTTGACTGAAACAGGGGGGAAAAAAATACGGCACAGCGAGCCAGAGCCGCAGGTGAGCAAAGGCTGTTTTCAAAAGGCAATAACGTCAACTGTTCTAATGACCGATACCGCAAACACAGGTCGAGCAAAGTCCTCCAAAGTGTGGGAGAACTTTAGGCTTTGTAAAGCGATAAAACTTGTAACATGCAACTTTTGCAAAAACGAATTAACATGGCACCGAAGCACCACTCTTATGATGCAGCACCTGAAAAGAAAACACGTCGGAGCCTTCGATGGCACTGAAGAGAGCTGATCAACAGGGTGAGCGACCATGTTTGTTTCGTTTTA